GAGACCTCTTGGACCGTCTTGGGGCCATCGTGGGCGTCTTGGAGCGGTCGTTTGGCGTCTCGGAGCCTTCGTGGGCCGTCTTGGAGCCTCTTGGGGGCTTCGTGGCCCGTCTTGAGGCCCTCTTGGGCCAGGAAAAGCCCCGTGGATCGCTCGTCCCGGACCCCCCCCCCCTTCAAATCGGCCCTCTTGGGCCGTCTTGGGGACCTTTTGGGCCGTCTTGGGGCCGTCTTGGGCCGTCTGGAGGCCATCTTGGGGGACTCTTGGGCCATCTTGGGGCTATCTTTGGGGCCTCTTTGCGCGTCTTGGAGCGTCGGGAAGCCGGAAAGGCGGAAAAGGGAAAAAACATCGAAAAACACTCTGGAAAATCAGCAATTTTAGACTCTTTGGGCCCTCTTGGGAAGCTCATTTGGGACCTCAAGCCGTCTTGGAGACCTCTTGGCCCGTCTTGGGGGCCATCGTGGGCGTCTTGGAGCGGTCGTTTGGTCTCGGAGCCTTCGTGGGCCGTCTTGGAAGCCTCTTGGGGGCTTCGTGGCCCGTCTTGAGGCCCTCTTGGGCCAGGAAAAGCTCCGTGGATCGCTCGTCCCGGCCCCCTCCCCCCCTCCAAATCGGCCCTCTTGGGCCGTTTTGGTGACCTCTTGGGCCGTCTTGGGGCCGTCTTGGGCCGTCTGGAGGCCGTCTTGGGGGACTCTTGGGCCATCTTGTGGCTATCTTTGGGGCCTCTTTGCCTGTTTTGGAGCGTCGGGAAGCCGGAAAGGCGGAAAAGCAAAAAACATAGAAAAACACTTGGAAAATCAGCAATTTTAGACTCTTTGGGCCCTCTTGGGCACATTTGGGACCTCAAGGCTGTCTTGGAGACCTCTTGGCCCGTCTTGGGGCCATCGTGGGCGTCTTGGAGCGGTCGTTTGGCGTCTCGGAGCCTTCGTGGGCCGTCTTGGAGGCCTCTTGGGGGCTTCGTGGCCCGTCTTGAGGCCCTCTTGGGCCAGGAAAAGCCTCGTGGATCGCTCGTCCCGGACCCCTCCCCACCTCCAAATCGGCTCTCTTGGGCCGTCTTGGGGACCTCTTGGGCCGTCTTGGGGCCGTCTTGGGCCGTCTGGAGGCCGTCTTGGGGGACTCTTGGGCCATCTTGGGGCTATCTTTGGGGCCTCTTCGCGCGTCTTGGAGCGTCGGGAAGCCGGAAAGGCGGAAAAGCAAAAAACATCGAAAAACACTCTGGAAAATCAGCAATTTTAGACTCTTTGGGCCTTCTTGGGAAGCTCATTTGGGACCTCAAGGCCGTCTTGGAGACCTCTTGGCCCGTCTTGGGGCCATCGTGGGCGTCTTGGAGCGGTCGTTTGGCGTCTCGGAGCCTTCGTGGGCCGTCTTGGAAGCCTCTTGGGGGCTTCGTGGCCCGTCTTGAGGCCCTCTTGGGCCAGGAAAAGCTCCGTGGATCGCTCGTCCCGGACCCCCCCCCCTCCAAATCGGCCCTCTTGGGCCGTCTTGGGGACCTCTTGGGCCGTCTTGGGGCCGTCTTGGGCCGTCTGGAGGCCGTCTTGGGGGAGTCTTGGGCCATCTTGGGGCTATCTTTGGGGCCTCTTCGCGCGTCTTGGAGCGTCGGGAAGCCGGAAAGGCGGAAAAGCAAAAAACATCGAAAAACACTCTGGAAAATCAGCAATTTTAGACTCTTTGGGCCTTCTTGGGAAGCTCATTTGGGACCTCAAGGCCGTCTTGGAGACCTCTTGGCCCGTCTTGGGGCCATCGTGGGCGTCTTGGAGCGGTCGTTTGGCGTCTCGGAGCCTTCGTGGGCCGTCTTGGAAGCCTCTTGGGGGCTTCGTGGCCCGTCTTGAGGCCCTCTTGGGCCAGGAAAAGCCCCGTGGATCGCTCGTCCCGGACCCCCCCCCCCTTCAAATCGGCCCTCTTGGGCCGTCTTGGGGACCTCTTGGGCCGTCTTGGGGCCGTCTTGGGCCGTCTGGAGGCCATCTTGGGGGACTCTTGGGCCATCTTGGGGCTATCTTTGGGGCCTCGTCGCGCGTCTTGGAGCGTCGGGAAGCCGGAAAGGCGGAACAGGAAAAAACATCGAAAAACACTTTGGAAAATCAGCAATTTTAGACTCTTTGGGCCCTCTTGGGAAGCTCATTTGGGACCTCAAGCCGTCTTGGAGACCTCTTGGCCCGTCTTGGGGCCATCGTGGGCGTCTTGGAGCGGTCGTTTGGCGTCTCGGAGCCTTCGTGGGCCGTCTTGGAAGCCTCTTGGGGGCTTCGTGGCCCGTCTTGAGGCCCTCTTGGGCCAGGAAAAGCCCCGTGGATCGCTCGTCCCGGACCCCCCCCCCCCCTCCAAATCGACCGGACCAGGCTCCCGGGGGAGGGGTTTGGGGAGGGGGAAGCATCTCACACGCCGATGATCCCCAAGGGGTCGGCGGATTCCCAGGTGTGCAGATTCAGCGTCGTGGACCCCCCTCCGCTAACGATATTAGTTTTCAGATCTAGGGCTTCTCCCGGGCTTCGCAACCTTTTTGACCAGGGACACTGAGGTACAATGTATGAAGGAATCGCGCTCTCGCGTGGGACCTCCTCGCAATGTATTCAGACGCCGCGCCTCCAACCCTTCGGCGGAATCACGCTCTCGCTTTGGATCGTTCACAAGTTATTCCGGGATCGCGCGATCGCTCGAAACTTCCTCGCGATTCATGCAGGACGCACGCTTTAGCAACCCGCCTGCTCGACCTGGCCGCTTGGGCCCGCCTTCCTGTCCCGACCCTGCCGTTATGGGTCTGCCAACCCGATCCGCCCGTCTGGTTATGTCACATGCTATCTGCTCTCAGCCCCCTCCTGCTACGCTCTCTCCTGCTCCATCCTCCTCCTTCTCCTTCCCCCGTATCCCTTCCTTCCATCCGTCCTCTCTTCCCCTGCCTTACGGGCTGCGCGGAATCCGTTTGGCATGTAAGAAAGATATATATATACCCGCAAGGGGGCACGATCGAAGACGAAGAGGGCGGCGGGTATCGAGGGTCGGGGATATACGTTGTGAGTGTCACGCGATCAGCAAGGAACGAACAGTCTTAAAAGTATGATTGCTGCTGTTGTGGCGTGTTTGTTCCTAACGAATGATTGTTGTTGATCCCCCCTCCAGAAACCGTTGCCCTTTTCACTTGAAGTGCCTTCCTCTGGGGTCGCACCTTTTTTTACAAATGAAAGCTAGGTGTCACCAGACGTCGCCCTTAGCCTCAGAGTTACAAGGACAACGGCTCCCGTTGGATAATTCCTCACAATGTATTCCCAAGTCGCGCTCTCGCGCGGGACTTCCTCTCGCGTGGGATTTGTTCGCAATGTATTGAGACGCATGCAGTGCATTGGCCTTTCTCATGATTTACTTGGAAATCGCGCTATCGCTCGAACTCTCCTCGCGATGCATGCAGAACCCACGCTTCACCAACGCGCTTTCTTGACCTGGCCGCTTGGGCCCGCCTTCCCGACCCGCCCGTTTGGGTCTCCCTCCCGATGGGCCCGTCTGGTTCTGCCACGTGTTTTCTCCTCCTAGCCCCCCTCCTGCGAATCCCGTGCTCAATATTTCTCTCTTTACATCCGTCCTCTCTTCTCCTGTTTCAGGGGCTGCACCAATTCTTTGCGGCTGGTAAGGAAGATCTACCCCCAAGGGGGTACGATCGAAAACGAAGAGGGCGGGTACCGAGGGTCTGGGATATTCGTGTTGAATGGCACGCGAGCAGATGGGAGCGAACAGTCTTCATGCTTTACTTTCTAGTGTCGTTGCTATGGTTTTTGTTGTGGTTGTTGTTTTGGTTGTTGTTGGTGGTGCTGCTATTGTTATGTTTGTCGTTGTTGTCAAGGTTGTTGGGATGGTGTTGTGATGTTGTTGTTGTTGTTGTTGTTGTTGTTGTTGTTGTTGTTGTTGTTGTTGTTGTTGTTGTTGTTGTTGAACATTATTACTTCTAAAGAATAATTATTGTTGGGACCCCTGGTGCACGACCCCCCCGCCGCGCCTAGGCCGCAGCCTCATTTTCATCATTTTCGTGAGGAAGTCTCAGGCAAAACGGGTTGGTCCGGATCCGGTTGTGTTGTTACGATCGGTTTTCCCTTGCAAAAAATAAGCTAAAGTGGACATTTCTTGTTCTAACATAACCAAACTTCAAGAATCCCTTGCAAAAAATAAGGTAAAGTGGACATTCGCGCGCGCAAGACGAAATCCTTCCAAAACTTAGTTTTCGTAGCGATTTTAACATAAAAACATCAAAAAAACCAATGGTTTTTCAAAAAAAAATGTCAAAATTTCATCCCGCGCGCTCTTGCGGATTCGTAGGAAACCCAACACTTTTTAAACATTTCTGTCAAACGGGCTTTTGCGAGCAACTTTTTCGAACTTCTGCAACAACGGTTGCGCACCTGCCAGGGCCATCATCCCTGTCAAATAATACCATGCGGGACACATTCGTTTTTTCTTCGCGCGCGCACGCCGTCGTCGTCGGCCGCGGGGCCCTGAATAGTAGCCACGGTCGTCCGCATGCCACGAAGTGAAGTGTCCGAACGTCATAGGGCGGGAAGCTGGGTGTGGGTGGTGGCGAAGAGTCGTTTGGAAATTTGGTAGAGCTTGAACCGGCCCCCCCACAAAGTGGGGGTATTGCCCGCCTCCTATGAAAACCCTGGCACCTGGTGAGAACGGTGTGTCCCCACGTGCTAGTAATTGTTGTTGTTGTTGTTGCTGTTGTTGCTGTTGTTGCTGTTGTTGCTGTTGCTGTTACTGTTGCTGTTGCTGGTGCTGGTGCTGGTGCTGGTGCTGTTGCTGGTGCTGTTGTTGCTGGTGCTTTTGTTGCCGTTGCCGTTGCCGTTGTCGTTGTCGTCGTCTTTGTGTGTGTGTGTGTGTGTTTTTTTTTGTGTGTGTGTGTTGGTTTGTGTGTGTGTGTTGGTGTGTGTGTGTGTGTGTTTGTGTGTGTGTTTGCGTGTATTCGTGGGTTTCTGTGTGTCTGTGTGGGCCTGTGTCTGTGTCTCTGTGTGTCGCGCGCGCCTGCGGAGGACGCCAAGCAGTTCCGGAGCGGCGACAAGCACTCAGTGCCCTGCGAGTGCGTCGTGGAGCTGTACGAGCTGCTGTGGCGCTGGGGCCACCGCTCCGGTGCTCTCGGCCTCCGCGGCTAAAATCCGAGCCCTGCCGCATGGGGCTAGGACGAGGCGATTGTTTTCTGATGTGTTTTGCCGATCGGCGCGGGCCCTCGCACCCCCCTCCCCCCACCTCCCCATGGAGGAGATCTTGGCCGTTTTGGGCGCCTGCTTCGAGCAGGTGGAGTCTCCCCAGAGGACGCACTGTTGCGAACAGTCGCATTGAGCAGAAGTCTCGAGCCAGACCCCGCCTGCCCCCCCCCCCTTCAGCCCAATGTCGAAACGCCGAATAAGAAAACGTTCACGAGGATAAATCCATTCCAGAGCGTTCCGAAACGCTCCTCAGAGCGTTCCGGATCTCTCTAAGAAGACCGCGGCGCCCGAGGCATCTTCCAGAGCTGCGGGATCTCAGAGATTATCGTGTTATCTTCACCCGATGTCTATCCTCGTCCTGGCTTCTTCGTACCCTGCCCTCGCCGATCACCGATTCTGGTCCACTCGATGGGCGGCGGGAGCAGGGTTCGAGGTGCGTCGAGCACGTGCCGACATCGAGCTCTGGCCCCGCCTCCCATCGACTCAGGAGAACCGGTGGTTGGGGGGGGTAGGGCTCGGATGTTCAGGAGCGGAAGAAGGAAGTACATGTACATGAATCCACGCTGGTTTCGAGAGTACGCATTGCGCAAATGTTCGTAGAACGCGGCCGGTCTCGCGGATCGAGGGGCCGTGTTCATGTACATAGCTGGGCGCGTACGTCCTTTGTGCACTCCCTAGATGTTGCACCCTACGGTTGCAATTCCTGGGAGGGTAAGTTCAGCATCGGTGTTGGCAGATCCGCGGCATGAAACGTCCCACCCCGCCCCGAATCTCAAGTCAGAACAAGCTGCCGATGCAGCTGCTCGTGCCAGAGAGCCCTCCCTCATCGCCACGGCTGGATTCTGCTCGAAATCCCACTCAAAACGCACATCAGGGGAGTTCTGTGGAGTGGCGGTAATGTTGGTACTTGTCTGTGTTCCCCCAAATCCAGCTCAGTCCAGCTTTGTCCCGTCCTTGGCTCAATCTGGCATGGTCTGGTTCACTGGCCCCTCAATCGGGCTGAGTAGCCCCTAGTCGTTCCCATCAAGACCTCCCAGGAGTTGCCTCCCAAGGTTCCTCGAGCTTCCTGGCGAACTTCGGGTTTGCGATCCCAGACACGATAGTGATCGTGCACGGCAAGCCGTACGCCTGGTACTTCATTAGCAAGAAGGCGTCGCGTTTGGTCGTCCACCGTAATTCCGAGTGCAGGCTTGGTCAGAACACAGCAAAAAACGTACAAGCTCATTTGCAGATGTGCGCTGGCGGAAATGTCGGTCGAGCCCCCGAATCCCACGTTGCCAGAGAAGTAAAATAACAAGTCGAAGGCTTTCCTCCATTTTCGGTCTCAGGGGGAACCACCAGGCTCAAAGATGATCAAAAAACACTACTCCGAGTTTCTTAATAAGCGTCGGGGGGTCGTCACCCCCGCCGACAGCCCCACATCGACCCCACTTCGCGGGCAGCCAGCGCGCGCCGAAGGCGCTCCGACCCCCGCCGCGGCGCGACGGCGAGGCGAGGTTGACCCCCGTCGGGGGGGTACCCCCCCCGCTCATTGAGAAACCCAGAGCACTCTGGATGAGAAGCTGGTTCCGGGGCATGGCTCGAGACCGCTGGAAGTCCACAGTGTGGACGTGCCCTCGTCGCCGGGGCCACTGGGCCCACACTGCCAAGGAAGCACGAGAACAAGGCGAGGGCTCTCCTCCGTCTTCGGTCCCAGGGCGTCCCCACCGGGCCCCGGGAGCATCCAGAAACGCTACCCTGGACGAGAAGCTGGCTCGGAGGCGCGGCTCGAGATCGCAGGAGGTCCACAGGGTGGGCGCGCCTCGTCGGGCCCGAAGTGGCGCGGAGGTCGGCGCGCTTTGGGGTATGACGTGCCAGCTGCGGCCAGATCTTGGGCCCCGGAGGGGCACCTTAAGTCATCGAGGGCAAAGGAACCCCGAAGCTTCAGTCGGGCGTGTCCCTCTACAGGAGGAATATCCCAAAATACCAAAAAATACTCTAGAGACGATTCTTCGATTATTTCTGACTATGTTTGCATATGTTTGGGCTATTTTCAATCTTTCCTCGAAAATCCTTTTGTAGGGAGACATGCCCGACATAACCCTAACCCGAATGGGATACAGTGAAGGCGTGGCCTCACTCGGGTCCCCGTCTTTGCACCAGGGATAACAAGATCTGGGCAGGTTTGGTCTGACACATCTGCAGACAAAGCCCCCTATACCCCTGATGTTTCTGCCCCTTCCCCTTGTATTGCGAATCGCCAAGCCCTTGCGTTCCCCGCTCTCGCCCCTCCCGACAGCTCCGCATCGAGAACTTCATTTATGCCCGTGCGCATGTGAGAAGGGGCGGGCCTCCTCAGCAGGCTCCGAAGCCCCTTCGTTCTGAGAAGTTTTCTAGCCTCCCCCGAAGCCTGAAGACACAACAACAACTTCTCAGCAGGCGCGAGGGTATCTGAGACGTCCCGGTGCCCTCTGAGAAGGCCTTCTCCTCCTCACCTTCCCCCCCTCGCTCTCGCCGCCGATGCTCACCTCCTGCGGCCTGCCGCCCTCTCGCACGCTCGCTCTCTGTCTCTCTCTCTCTCTCTCTCTCGCGCCTCTTGTCCCCGCGCCTCTCTCGCTCCCGCCGTCACCGCCCACCAAACCACCCCAACCCAGCGCGAAGGCCCCGATCTGCCTTCCAACTCCAGCAACCGAAATTCGGGTTTTCGGGTTGGGGTGGTTTGGTAGGTAGTCTTAAGGCTTAAGACTCCCTACCAATGGGTTTTGCGTGGCGCCCTTCCCGATGGGAGATCCCACGTCGTTGCGCAATTAAGTGCGTTTGCTTGTGTTTTGAGCGGCATTCTGCTGTCTCAGCGGCGGTTTGGTTGCCCCCCCGCTTCCGCCACCCCCAAGTGGAGCTGCATGATAAGTCGGTCACGTCCCCATACAGGAGGAATATTCGAAAATTGGAAAAAATAGTCTGGGGATGAATTTTTTTTCGATGTTTGAATAGTTTTGAAGTTTTTTTTTTGATTTTCAAATTTTCGAATTTTCGCTCAAAATCCCCCTGCAGGGGGACAGGCCCGGCTCAAAATTCGGGTCTTCGGGTTGGGTTGGGGTGGTTTGGTAGGTAGTCGCGCAGCTCTCGCCTCCCTCGCCTCCCTCGCCTCCCTCGCCCCTCCCTCGCCCCTCCCCCGCCACCCCCGGGGCCAAGGCCCAGGAAGCGAACGGCGCCCAGAGGCCCACACGGCGACACGCCCAGCCCGCGCCGACACCGACACCGAGGATGAAGTCGGGCCTGTCCCTCGACAGGAGGAGTATCCCAAAGTAGTCAAAGAACAGTCTGGAGAGGATTGGTTTGACTATTTCTGACCATTCTGGGGTACTTGTTACACATGCTTCAACTTTCGCCCAACATCGGCCTGTAGGGGGGCATGCCCTAAACCAAGGACTTCCTCTTCTTCTTCCTCCTCCTCCTCCTCTCCTCGGCGCTCGTTCGTCCCGACTTGCAATTCGTCGTCAGGGCTCTCGTCGGGTTGTGATTGAGCGAGGACAACTCGGGGCTCCCGCCGTGGGGCCATCCTGTCGCAGATCGCAGAGTCCTCCTGCGCACGGCAGGTCGCACAGTCCTGGATGTCATAGGACTGTTGTTTAAGCTCGAGTTCTGTCGACCTTCGGCCCGACACAGTTTCGCCGCCGCCGCCTCCTCTCGTCCTCAGTTCTTGACGCTTCGCTTCGCTGATCCCCACCAGACCATGCAGAAACACTTGCCGGGGGAGTTGCTAGAACGAGGGCCGTGTAGAAGCATGATGGCCGCCGAAGCGGCGGTCCCATTTGCTGAATAGTTGAAGACATGATCTCTTGCCGCCCGGGCTCTATTTGGTTTTTCTGGGATGAGCTCATGGAAGTCTATTGCAGTGATCTCCGGCGTTCAAGAATTTATGGGCACTTGATTTGGTCTGCGTCCTGGACCAGGCACGCGACTTTCGTTGTATCCAGGATTGGCAGGAGCGACTGCCAAGCGAGCTGCCCGAATCAGAGAAGTGTAGAAGTGTGCAGGGGAACGGTTGCCTTGGAAGCGCGCGCGGGGGCCGTGGAAGGTGCGGGAGCATCTGTCGATTGTTTTAACAACTCATAGTCACATGAGCTCCGTTTTTTTTTTTTTTTTTTTTTTTTTTGTTCTGTTGGGATGCTTTGTTGGAGTTAGCTTGGGGTCTTTCCGCCTTCCAGATTCACGGGAGCTGGACCTTCATGTCGTGCAGGAACGATCGAAACAAATGACCGGCGAGGTGCCCGAATCGGCGAAGTGTAGATGTAGTTTCACAGCGGCACGGCCGCCTCGGAAGCATGTCGGGGCCAAGCCAGCGGCGGGAAGATCCGTTGCATGACTTAGCAAACGTTCCCGTGGCACTGCAGCCGTAGCGGAGCCTTCACCGACCTTTTTGGAGTCAGGGGGCTCCCCATGGAGTAGATCTTGGATGTTTTTGGGCGCCTGTTTTCAAGCAGGTGGAGTCTCCCCCATAATGGACGCACTGTTCCAAACAGTCGCACTGAGCAGAGGTCCGGAGCCAGCCCCCCCCCCCCTCCCTCACCCCCTTCCGCCCAATGTCGAAACGCCGAATAAAAAAAACGCTCACCTTGAGCCGAATGCGTCAAAGATGGGAGGGTCCTCAATTCAAGTTCCCCCTTCGGAGGCTCCAAAAGGGCGTCTTGGTGCCCTCTTGGGGCGCTCCTGTGGCGCTCTTGGGTGCCCTTGGGCTCCTCCCGGGGATCTCTTGGGCCGTCCTGAGGCCATCTTTGAGGTCTGAAGAGTCCGTCGGAAGCGAAAAGGCGAGAAAGCAAGCACATGAATTTCCCGTTGGTTTTTGATGGACTCTGGCCTCTTGAAGGATTCCTTCGGCGGCTCGGAGGGCCCTTGGAGCTATCCTGAACTGAGGCTATCCTGAACCATCCTGAACTGAGGCTATCCCTTTCGGAGGTATGTCGGAGGCTATCCTGAAACATCTTGAGCCATCTTGGAGGCCATCGTGGAGTCTCTGAGGCCCTCTTAGAACCATCTTGGGCCATCTTGGGCGCTTCAACTACCCGCGGCACTCCCCCGCGTCCCAGGCCCAAGGGAGGGTGTAGTGGGAGGAGTAAGCCCCTCCCCTGGCAGCTCTGGCAGAGAGAAGACAAAACTCACCAAACCACCTACGCCCAGCGGGCTGGTGATATTATTATTATGTGTCTCGCATTGCATGTATCCAGACAATCCAGATTCTCGAGTCCACGGCCTCACCCGTCTGGTCTAAGCCAGGCCGGACACTGTCCGCAACGGTGGTCGCACCGCGTCACATCCCGCTGCTGGTCTATCGCTCTTTCGCCCCCCTTGCTTTCCTTCACGCTGTCGCTCTGTGATTTCAGCTCAGGCAGCGGTCGGGTGACTGAGTCGCACCAGTTTCGATGGCCAGATCGAACTGCACAGCTCGAGTTGAGATGCGCTGGATCGAGTTCGGGGGGAGCATGGTGAATGGGAAGGCACCTCAATGAAGAACAATGGGCATGATCTAACATGCTCGCCAGTCCACGTGGATTAATATGATCTGCTCTGGACCTTCCTGGCGGCTTGTCCGGCGCCGCCCCTGGCGCGCCCCGCGCGACAGTGAGGAGGGGGCTCAGCGCAGATCCAAGAAGCCCGCGCGGACCTCTAAAAGTGTACGTTCTTGCCGCTTTCTTTGCCCCTCGGGCACAGCGAATTTGCGAATTGGAGCTGGATGCTCTGATGGGCGGCTGCTTTGATGACCGCGGGGATGCTAAGGAGGTAGGGGGTTATACGTGGATGGTGAGGAGGGTTCTATCTGGCTCAATCACGCTTAGAAGTGAGCTACATGTGCCCGGAGCGGCTTGGGTGGATCTCGATAACTCCGCTGCGTGGGTGGAGCCCATTTGGCCCTGATCATAACCCCCTTGATCCACTTGGGGGACTTCTCTCCCATCCATAAACTACGTAGGACCTCGCAATTGGGTGCTACGCGGCTGGGTCGCGGATGTGTCGCGGGTGGGTCTCACCAGTTCAATCCGAGGCTTATCCCTCGTCCTCGAGAATTTAGCAGTATCTTGCCCCATGCATGTTCAGGTCGTCTTTTGGTTCGGAGGCGGTGCACCCTGTGTTTTTTTTGCCCATTTCTGGATTCTCTAAAATGGGCCTGGAGAAAAAACAAACGAAAGTTTGAAACAAGAGTTCATATGTACTTGATATTCGCTGTTCGGGTACGTATATTCAGTACAAAACTTGCGTTTGTAAAGGAATCGACTCGTCATTATTGAATAAGAATATTATGTATTGTTCTAATACATCGTTTTTGCTGTAAATCTCCGTAAAGGCTTCGCCCCCTGCCGCCGGCCCCCTCTCTATCATTATGGGATATATCAGAGTCGCGCCGGTGCGCCTGGGCGCTGCCTTGGCGCATCTGGGAACATCATGCGGGGGCGGATAGGAATCATCAGCGCAAATTGAGACGTTGGCGTTATCCTAGTGGCCTTCGGCCCCCATCCCGCCATCGTGCCTGGGTTGAGGGTCTGAGGCATCTTGTGTATGTGTTGGAGTGTCGTGGGGAGCCTCTCGGGGACCTCTTGGAGGCGGTTCAGGCGCATCCTGGGGGCCTCTTGGGGCCTTTTTGGGGTCTCTTGGAGGCCTCTTAAGCGCCTCTTGGGTTCTCTTGGGGCCTCTCGGGGCTCTCTTAGGGCCTCATGGGGGCATCTCGCGCCACAGATATAAAATGTTCGGTTCGTGGTCCCCTGCTTGGGCCCCTCTTTGGGCTGTCTTGGGGCCCTCTTGGGCCGTCTGGAGTGCTTCTTAGGCAATCTTGGAGCCCTCGTGGGCCGTCTTGGGGCCCTCTTGGAGGCCTTCTGGGCTGTCTTGGGAGCGTCTTGAGCCGTCTTGGAGCGTCGGAAGCCGAAAATGCGAGAAGGCCCAAATCCTTCAAAAATCTGTTGTGCACTCGACGATTGGGCGCCTTGGGGCTCTTTCGGGAGGCCTCTTGGGGTGCTCTTGGGGCCCTCTTGGGCCGTCTTGGAACCGTCCTCGGGTTCCCTGGAGCACTCCTTGGCCCCGGCAATGCGAATATGGCGTACTCTGTAAGGGTTTATGGCCCCAGGGACGCGACTGTGGTTTGTGGCCTCGGGGACGCGATAATCGTATAACTTACGAGGGGCTATGGCCTCGAGGACGCGACTCGGGCGTGGCAACCGGCTAGTGTGGGGCTTCCCCCTCTCCTCCCGAGGGCTCCAACAATTTACAACAGGAAGCAGAACGACGGACTGAAACATTGGAGACTTCAAACTGCAACTGTCGCAGGGAGCAGCAACCTCGCCCTACAGACTGGTGGCCCCACGAGGTGGCCGGCGGATGTTTGCTCCTTTGTGGAAATGTACGTCTTCAACGAAACGCCGCCGTGGGATTTGGGGACCTCGTCGCCGCGGGAGGGCGCACGGCCACAGTAGCAGAGGGCTGAACCGAGGAGGAGGCAAAGACGCAATCGGTGAGTAATTTGCGCGGAGAAAACTGCAAGCTCCACGCGCGTTCGCAGCTAGGAGTGAGGAGTGAATGCGCGGTCTGCGCGGGGCCATTGCAGGCGTGTTCCATGCGAGGGTGCGGACCGGAACGTATTTTTCCAAATGAGTTCCAAATTGTTCCAAGGGGGGGTGGGGCCTCCGACTTCGTTCGCGGGGTGGGTCGCGGGCGGGTCGCGGGCGAGGACGACGACAACAACTTCAGCAGAATCCGTTGGACGGAGCGCCACTTCTGCCACGCACCCAGGGGCAATGAGCTACCGTTCGGCCCCCTTCCACGCACCCAGGGGCAACGAATTACTGGTCGGCCCCCTGACTCTGATGCTAAGGCATACAACAGAAATATTTGGCATACATTTGTAACCCCCATATCCCATGAGAAACCGCCGCGGTGACCCCAGTAGGGAGGGGAGCCCAGCGCAGCACCAGGAAGCCCGCGCAGGATCCCCCCTCCAACCAAGGGCCCCTTCCCCCTCGTGAGGACGGCCGCCTGCTGCGCAAGTCGGGGCAGCACCTCACCGTGTCCGCCATCGAGAAGAAGCTCTGCCGCGACGGTGCCGCCGCCAGCGGCGACGGCGACGGCGGCGTAGCGAGGACATCGACGACGGCGGTTCCGGCGTGGCGACGACCGACGTCGACAGGGTCCACTTTGCTCCGATCGGTCCGATCCGATGTCGATTCTGGCTGGCTCGGGCCGATCCGATTCCGATATCTTGGCGATCCGGTGCGGTTCGATGCTTGCATGGCGCTGGTGTGCATCCTGTCGCGATTCGATTCCGTCTTCGTGCCGATGCGGCCCGATCTGACGCACGTCCCGGTACCATCTGGTTCATCGATCCCTGAGCGTTCGGCCACGGCGACCGCCAGCGGCTACGGCTCGGCGACGGCGCCTCGTCGGAGGCCTGCACAGAGTGGCACCACCACCTGTATCGGCGGGTGCCACCGCCGAGGGAAGCTGATCTGGATCTCGGCGGTGGTGGTGGTGGTGGTGGTGGTGGTATTCGGGCGAAGGGGACTATGCACATGCACCGGTCCTGGCAAGGCCTGTCTTTGACCCAGGATCGGTGCATACACCTTCCTGGCCAAGGTAGGAGGGCGTATGCACCGATCCCGGGCTCAGGATGGGCCTGGCCAGAATCGGTGTATGTGCATAGTTCTCTTTCCTCTAAGTATTCGGGCTTCCTGGGTGACGGAGAGATCCCCGCCAGCACCATGGTCCAGGATCATCGTGCTCTGGTGGCGTCGGCCCCGTGCTGGGGTTGGCCGCCGGGCCCCGGGCCTCCAACTCTGACGGTGACGGCAGCGGCGGCAGGCGGCCTCTGTTCGGACATGTCCCCCTAGAGGCGGATTTGGGGCGAACCAACAAATAAAATATCCCCAAGTGCTCAAAAAGATTCAGAGCATCGTCTCCCGACGATCTGTTATACATATCTTTGGACACTCCTCTCTTGTAGAGGGACAGGCCCCACTCAACGGCGGGTGGCCGCAGCGGCGGCGGCGGCGGCGCGCCGGCGGCGGCCACGCCCGCGGCGGCGCGCAATGGCAGGCCCGGAGGGCCACGTGGCCGGCGTGTGGCTGCCGGCCGCGTCCCAGTTCCCCGAGGCGGGGGGAGACACCACCGAGGGGGGAGGAGGAGGCCTCCCTCCTCCCTCCTCCCTCCTCCTCACTTTCCTCCTCCTCTTCTTCTCCTCCTCCTCCTCTTCCTCCTCCCCCTCATCCTCCTCATCCTCCTCATCCTCCTCATCCTCCTCCTCCCTCCTCTCTCCTCCCTCCTCCTCTGACGTCTTGGCGAGCGCGTGCGTGATTTTGACGGTCCCAGTTTTCGTGGGAGGTCTGTTGCGGGAGTTTGCGTCAGATTTCAGATTGGGTCTCGTCGTTTTTATGATGGCCCCGTCAGGCCAACCCGAGTCCCCTTTAGCCGAGTCTTACGTCTTCCCGAATGAGGCATAAGTCGTGTATAGCCAGGACCCCATGTGATGGGACCCGGTTAGTAGTAGGGCCCCAGAGCCCCGAAGTTGGCCAGAATCACTAAGCCAGGTCTGCTCTAGCTAGTTTTTTTTTCGGGTGGCGGCAGTTCCGGTCAGTGGAACGGGGCGCGGGGGGGGCGCCCCCCAGCAGTACACATCACTAAGTTAAATCAGGTCCCACTAAACCCAGTTCTGCCAACGCCCGAATAAGGGAAAGAAGTCCCAAGCAGAGCACGACCACGACGACGCCGCCGATGACGACCGCGACGAGGCGCGCAGACGATTCGCACCGAAGCACGGATTTGCGAAAGGGCCCACCCTGCAGGTTCGGTCAGCAGCACATCGTTGAGCGGTGTTGCAGTCTCCTCTGAGCACAGGGCCCCCTGAGGAGCATCAGCCATCAGCTGGACAAGTTGGGTTTGTACCTTCATGTCGTGCTGTTTTTTTTACGCGTTTTGGCGCTGCGACTGTCGCCGCCGCCCCCTCGTCAGGGCCACCGACTCGGATGACGGCGACAACGACAGTGGTGGTGGCCGATGCGTCCCAGAGAAGTCTAGGGGACGCCATACCTCGTCTCGTTGCGAAACCAGCACGGAGCGAGGTTTTGGACAATTTTCGGGTTCCCAGGGCCCTCACCCAGTTCGTGGAACGTAAAATATTTGCTCGGGATGAACAGCCAGTCTGGGGGAAGGGGTCTAGACCTGTGGGGGTCCACGTTGTGAACAAATCGCGACGTCGGAGATCCACAAACTCGGAGCCCAAAACCTCAGGGGAAGCGCCATGGACGGGACTCGGGGGCCCCCAAACTATAGAAAGCGCAAACATGGATGACGCTGCCTGGATTTGCGATGGGTCCCGCCTCCTGACTGATTTTTCAGAGGTGCAGTCCCTGATCCGTGGCAGCATGCGCCCGACAACGCCGTGCAGTGTCCACACCGCGTGGTGAATCGTCGGGGATTTAGGGCGGCCGCATTTGTCACCGTCCATGCGAAGTCCAGCGGCGGAGCTACGGAATAACACAAACACGCGCGCACACAGAGGAAGGACACGATTTCGGGCCGTGGGCATCTCTTCGAGGACGTCTCGGGCGACGGGGGCCTCCAAGGTCCCAACACCGCGCGATCAGCGGAGGTCTTTGGGGGATCCGAGGCTACCGGACGATCTGTCACCGCACCGCTTCGAGATGCCCAAGAGGCGACGCCATCAATCGAAGAAAGGGGAGCTTTCGGAAGAGATTTCAGCGCTTCTGTCGGTTACTGAAGGTTGTCTTGCCTCGGGCTGCGTTCCAGCAGCGCCTCGTGAGCGTTCCAGGGGTGCCCGAATCGTCGCAGACGGCCGCAAGCGGCCCGAGCTATGGCCCGGACGCCCCCGAGTCGGATCAGCGCGAGAGGTTCCCCAACCGAAGCAACAATTCGTTTGCAGCCCTCGCGGAGATCCAGCCAGGGCCCTCCAGCGGCCTGATCAAGGGGGCCTCCGGGGACCCCCAAGGGGAGAACTCCGCAGCGACGCTCCCAGACCTCCCGGGCACTTGGGAGACCTCCGGAGGAGGGCGGACCCAGGAGTCGGGTGCTCCAAGCGGTGCGGTGACCACACTGTGTGGTGAGTCAGCACGGGTTCGAGTTGAGCGCGCTGTTTTGGGACTTCGGTCGTTCTCTGAGGATGTCTGAGACGGCTGGGGCCTCGAGTATGTCCCGAAACTGGGCGGTGGCGCACCGTGCGGTGAGGTCTTTGAGAGCTGGTGTTCGAGGCACGCACGGGCTGAATTCCCACGAAAGTGCAGCAAACCCACGATTTCCAGATCAAACTTCCGAACTTCTACCGAACAACCGCCCCAACAGGAACCGAGCACCCACCCCCGGAATTCAACCGACAAAAAAACGGATTTCTACCGAACAAACCTCTGGACCTCCCTGGAGAGGCCTTATGAGGCCGCCTGGAGAGGCCTTCTGGGACCGCCTGGAGAGGCCTTCTGGGGTCGCCTGGAGAGGCCCTATCGGAATTGCTGAAGGCGCCCCTTGCCCGAGGTGCCTCCGGCTTTCCGCTTAATTGTGGAGCCCCTGGGGCCCTCTCGGCCTCGTGAGGGGTGCTCTGGAGGCCGTGGGAGCTTCCTTGGAAGTCCTGGGGGCACCTTGGGCCAGGGGCACTTTTGGCAACACCCCACTGTTCTTGTTCACTCGAGGCTGGAAGATCGCTCCAGGAGCCGACGGCGACGCCATACGTCGGGCGGGTGGAAATGGGAGGTGACTTCCATTGGGAGTGGAGAGGAGGGCCCTCAATGGAGCCCTCTAGAGCCCTTTTCTGCCCGAATCTAGGTCACACCCCCTCACCACCCGCCCGAGCAGAACGTAGAGTGTCCCCCTCGGCGCGCCGCCGAGCAAGAGGAGGCGCCGCAGCGAAGGCCAACCAGCCTCGGCCGCATCCCCCCTTGTAAGGTCGGCAAGCCTTGAGTCGGGCCTGTCCCTCTAGAGGAGGAATGTTCAAACATAGTCAAAACTATTCACTGCGTGGAACTCCCTATACGTGCATCTTTTTTCAAAAGATAATATTGTATTTGGGATCTTCTTTAAATGAGCGTCTAGCCATATGTGCCATATGTGCATCTCATAGTGTAGGGGCACAAGCTCTGCGCCAGCAGCACCTGGTCACTCCTCCTTGACCGCCGTATGCAACGGGGAGAGCCACTCGGGACACAACGCAAGAGCAGAAACCAGGCAAACCGCTAGAGATATCCCCACACAACGGCGACGAACGGAGCCGTGAAAGCACCTTTGGCGGCTCCTCTTAATTAGGTAGCTGAAACCAGCGCTTCGCCTGAGACATCCTCACAATGGGCTCTCCAAGCGAAGGCTGTTGAGACAGAACACAGGCAAACTGCCTGAGACATCCCCACAAAACGGCCGCCAACGGGACCGTGCGATTCCCCATCGGCGGTTCCCTTTAGGTAGCTGAAACCAGCGCCCCGCCTGAGTCATCCTCAACATCTGCTCTCCAAGCGAAGAATGCTGAGACAGAAAACAGGCAAACCGTTTGAGACATCCCCACAAAACGGCCACGAACGGAGCCGTGACAACACCCTTGGCGGCTCCCCTTGGGGGTGCGGAAACCAGCGCTTCGCCTAAGACATCCTCAAAATCTGCTCTCCAAGCGAAGGATGTTGAGACAGAAACCAGGCAAACCGTTTGAGACATCCCCACAAAACGGCCACGAACGGAGCCGTGAAAACACCCTTGGCGGCTCCCCTTGGGGTGCTGAAACCAGCGCTTCGCCTGAGACATCCTCAAAGTCTGCTCTGATAACCAAGGATGTTGAGACAGAAAGCAGGCAAACCGCTTGAGACATCCCCACAACATTGCTGCGAACGGGACCGTGAAAACACCCTTGGCGGCTCCCGTGGGGTTGCTGAAGCCAGCGCCCCGCCTGAGACATCCTGACAATATGTTGTGTGTTGCGTAAGCAAGACCATACAAAGGTCTGAGTATGAGTAAGTCTGAGTAGGAGTACGTCTGTGTATGAGTACGTCTGTGAATGAGTCTGAGTATGAGTAAGTCTGGGTATGAGTGAGTCTCAGCATGAGTAAGTCCGAGCATGAGTAAGTCTAAGTGTGAGTAGGTCTGAGTATAAGTAAGTGTGTGTATGAGTAAGTCTGGGTACTAGTATATCTAAGCATGAGTAAGTCCAAGTGGGAGGAAGCGAGCTGTACCGCAAATAATGAGCACGAGTACGAGTGGGAGTGGGTATGACTATGACGGGGTATGTCTTTGAGTGGGTGTGAGCTTACTGTGTCACGAAGAAGTCTGGGTATGAGGAGGATGAGGAGGAGGAGAAAACGAGGAGGAAGGAGTAGGAGGTGTCTAAGTAATAACAAGAACCCTATCTCAGGATATGGGGAAACATAGTACGGGGACGATGCTTGTTACTATGTTTGGCTATTTGGGGGCATGTTTTGGTTATTTTTATTTTTCGTCCAAAATCCGCCTGCGCGGGGAAACGCCCGAGCTAAGGCTCACCAGCCTCGGCCGCATCCCTTCTCGTAAGGTCGGCAAGCCCCAGGCGACGACACGCTCAGGGGCATGCTCTCGGAAGCAGAAGGAATCCTTCAGATCGGCACCGAGGCAAGGTGATGTCAGACATAGGGGTAAGGGTATGATTCAAGCTGGTACAGTCGACTACCCAAAAATACTCAAAGATAGTCTGGGGACCATTGTTCCCTACCTAGGCTCTGCCTAGAAGGGTTCTTACTATATGTGCTTAAAGGGCCCGGCAGTGTAAAACGCCCCGGGCGGTTCCCCCAGCATCCGCCCCGCGGTTCCCCCGGTTACGTCTCTTTAGTTTAGCGTTGTTTATCTCATCTTAGCTTAGCTTATTTCATATTAGCTTAGCTTAGCTTCAGCTTAGCTCATGTTTATCTTAGCGTAGCGTACCTTCATCTTAGCTTCGCTGAGCTTTAGCACATCAGAGCACAGCATAGCATAACAGAGCGTGGCATAGCATAGCGCAGCACAGCACAGCACAGCATAGCACAGCGCAGCATAGCATAGCAGAGCAGAGTATAACATAGCATTAGCATGGATGTGACTCCCTACCTAGGCTCTGCCTAGAGGGTTAGCTTAGCTTAGCTTAGCTTAGCATAGCGCA